CTTTTGATTTATTTTGGTTTGGTTTATTAGGACTATATCAGTATGTAGTCCAAGATCCCTTACAACTCTTGAGCCTCCTTGCTTCAGTCTCCTGAGGAGTCAGATTTTTCCACTTAATCATGTGTATGTCTGTGTGCATATGTGTGTATGCATCCACAGGTGAACTTGCGTGGTACCTGTCTGCCTGCCTGCTGGTATTAGGGCTTGAACTCGGGGTGTTTTGTTCTTGTTTAGCTTTTGTGCTTGAGGCAAGTGCTCTACCTGGTCTTTGGCCCTCAATTACTTTGCTGAATGTCTACATGCCTGGATTTGTGATACTCAATAGACATTTAAATTTTAGCAAAGTCAAAGATTCACAGAAGATACTACAGAAACCGTCTTCCTTCCTTCCTTCCCTCTCTTCCTTCTCACCTATGTCTTCCTCCCTTTTCTCCTTCCTTTGGAAGGTAATGAGAATTGAACTCAAGGTCTTACACTTGTTAGGAAGTCACTCTATTGCATCAGCCATGCCTCCAATTCTTTACTATGTTGGCTGCAATCACTAGCTGTGTCACTGGGGATGACAGAAGCACAGCACAGCACTGGCTCCTGTCATTTTGCTTCTTCTGTACCTAGGGATAACAGACATGTGTCACTGCACATTGAGATGGAATCTTGAGAACTTTTAGGTCGGGAATAACCTTGAACCATCAAGTCCCCATCTTGGTTTCCCAAGTAGCTAGAGATTACAGGTTTGAGCCACTGTACCTCCCCTAATTTTTAACATCTCTTATTAGCACTGTACATTTGTGACAGTCATTGAACTAAGAATGATATGTTACTACTGAAGTATACAACTTATATACTTGTATTCTTGTTTCCTGTTCAGTATACTATAACATGACATTATTTATCTGTCCCCTCAGGATCCTGGTAGAATAGCATCATTTTTATGAATTACATAAACCTAATCATAAGGAGTTAGAAAAAAAGCCAAGGATATTCAAGGGTACTTACACAACAACTTCAAAAAATGTCAATATTGTTAAAGGAAACATTGAGGGTGCTGTTCCTAAATGAACATTTAAAAGACATGACAAGCTGAGTGCTGGTGGTTCATGCTGACAATCCTAGCTACTAAAAAAGCTGAGATCTAAGGATCATGGTTCGAAGCCAGCCCAAGTCATAAGTCTCTTATTTCTAATTAACTACTAAAAGTTGGAAGTGGAGCTATGGCTCAAGTGGTAGAGTACTAGCCTTGAACCAAAAAACTGAGGTATTATACCCAGGGCCCAGTTCCAACCCCAGAACCAGCACAAAAACAAAAACAAACAAAAACAAAAAAACAAATGCAACACAAATCTAAATGGAATCATTCTGTCATAAAGGATCTCAGCCTCCTATATAGCTAGGATTATAGATGTGAGCCACTTACACCTGATGAATTTGGAAAATTCCAAATCCACATTATCTTATACCTTTGTAACAGAATGGCAGAAGATCTAGTTAAATGAGTTTTAGTAATTACTTTAAACTGTATTGTTCTAAGTAATACAATTTTCCTTGAAAATGGATTGTGTTTTGTAGAATTCCTTTGAGACAATTATACAGAAAAAAAATTCTCAAAAAATAAAAAACATACTAACTTCATAAAACTCCTATACTCACCAATACTGCTAATAAAGGACTCATTAAAAATCCTTATCAGAGCTCTTACCATCCTTCTTCCAGATTCAGAGACAGTTTTTCATCAAATGAAAGAAAAGTTATCCTATTTTAATTATCTTATTAATGAGTGTTTACACAAAACCAAGAAAGGAGTAGAAAGAAGTTCAAACTGGAATTTTTTTTTGATGAAATTGACCTTTATGACAAACTAAACTTAATCATATGCACAAAAATACATAAATATTCCAGAGGATACTTAAGAGCCCACGAAGCCACGGTAAAGTCTCAACTCTGAATAGAGTAAATGTGTCTTTTAATCTCTAGTTAGAAAAGATACACAGGGAAAATTAAAGGTTTTTTTTCCACAATTTTAAAGAAAGAAATGTTAAAAATCTTGTCTCAAAACAGTTTATCAGCAGTGCACTGGTGGCTCATGCCTATATTCCTAGCTACTCAGGAGGCTGAGATCTGAAGATCACAGTTCAAAGCCAGCAAGAAAGTCTGTGAAACACTGATCTCCAATAAACCACCAGAAAACCAGAAGTGGTGCTGTGGCTCAAGTGGTAGAATGCTAGCCTTGAGCTGAAGAGCTCATGGACAGCGCCCAGGCCCAGAGTTCAAGTCTCAGGACCAACCAAAAACAACAACAAAAAAAAACCCACACCAAAAAGAAGTTAAAAAATTAAACAGCTCATCTTAGGAAGTAAAGGTAATGACCACAGTAAAAAAATATTAAGGAGTTTCACTATCTTTAAAATGTATTCTACATACATATTTCTTATGAGAAAATTCTAAGATAGATGTTTTTCAGATCATCTTCAAAATTTATCTGATTGGTTATTTCCAAGTAGTCAAATTAAATTATAACACTTATGTCCTTGTAGAAAGCAGGTATATATGTTCAAAGCAAAAAGCAATTTGTTTTTAACATAGAAAGTTAAATCTAGAATGAGTAATATGAACCAATAACTATTTTGACTTCATTTCCACATCATAATCTGAATGGTATAACTATTTAAATCTCATCACAAGTATTAATCAGACCTTTTTTTTAAAGTTCCTAACTTGTTATTTTGAAAAATTTTAAACATAAAGTTCAAAGAATAAACATCCATTATTCGTTAAAAATATCCTCCTTATAGAATCAAAACTAATTCTGTAAACTATACTAGGCTTTATACAGAATAAAAATACATATTAAAACTGATAATTAGGACTAGTAACAATTTCTAAATAGGTTATGAACTCAAGATAATTTCTCAACATCATTTACCTTTTCTGTATGTAACTAGAACACTTAAAATTTTAAGTAAAAAAACTCAAGTTAGGGCCTAGAAAGGTGGCTCAAGTGGTAGAGCGCTACCCTTGAGCTGAAGAGCTCAGGGACAGTGCCTAGGCCCGGAGTTCAGGCCCCATGATCAGTAAAAAAAAAAAAAAAAAAAAAAAATCAAGTTAATGTTTAGATTTTCCATGAACAAAGTGTAAGATAAACCTTCCCAAGAACCACTTACCATTTTCTTACAGTAAGAAGACTAAAAGTAAAATTGTATTCAAAGTTATGAAAGTTTTTATATTAACAATAGATGACATATTTCTAAAATAATCCTAAAACTGCCCAGAGAGCTATACTAAGTAGCATCTATAACTATTAGATTACAAACAAAGTAAGATACTAGTTTCTAAGAAAGTATGTGTGTCCTTTCAGATTCAAATCTAAAAAGCTGTGAGCTAAGTCCTCATCAAATACATTTTTTATTTTCAAGTAGACAGAAAACATTCCACTATAGGGGCTGGGAAGGTGGCTCAGTGGTAGAGCGCTTGCCTTGCATAGATTCCTCAGCACCACATAAGCAAAAAAGGAAAAAGCCGGAAGTGGCGCTGTGGCTCAAGTGGTAGAGTGCTAGCCTTGAGCTGAAGAGCTGAGGGACAGTGCCCAGGCCCAGAGTTCAGGCCCCACAACCGGACCAAAAAAAAAAAAAATATTCTACTATAAATATGCAACTGTGAGATATACAAGATAGAAACAGTGAAATAAAGATGACAATAAAAAGCAGAGAGAATTCCGGTACAACAATGTCCATATGGTAAAAGACAGAGACCAAACAAAAATCAAGATGTTCTTGAAAATTTCAAAATCACTTATTACTCCAACAATCAAAATTGCAACCTTTAAAACCACAATCATGGTTCACCAAAAATCAGTCTAAATGATCTCCTATCCAATAGTTTCTAAAATCTCTAGAAGAAAAATAACCAAAAATATGTTGAAGATACTGACTCTTAAAGAACAAATGCATATATCTTTACATATGTATTTGAAGTAATGCAAAGAACTGACCAACTTTATGATTTCAAATGGCCAATGATTTCAATTTTCTAAGATAGAAAAACAAATCGTTACACACAGAAAAGGTGCCTAGTGATATTAAAAGTTTCTGAAATAAACTGACACTTAACATGTTTACGATATACTTCTGTTAAATCATCCTCAGAAATGGATTTTACAGTACAGACACATGTATGCATTTGCTAACTAGATATATAATATTGTGATATTGTAATTTTGTTGCATAAAAGTAATTAATATCTAGTCCTAAAGTAAATATGAAACTATCAAGAAAGATACATCTCAAGCAATGGAAGATAAGCAATGAGCCAATAAAATGTATACATGCATCTGTGTCTATGTACTTAAGTAAAAATATGGTGCATATATTATTTTCTGACTGAAATGTATTTTTAAATTTAGAGCGTAAATTTACCAAAAAAATCAGTTTATAAATATTCAACTCATTATCGTATTTACAACTAAGTCTTGTTTAGTCAAGTCTTTAAGTACAATTAAAATAATGCAGAAAAAAAGCATTAGTTTCTATTACACATGTGTATAAGAAATATCAGGAAGCAAGAAAAGTGAATCTGGGTCCACCATGGTATCATGATTATATAGGTTAGTTAAGTTATTCCTCTCAGTCATCTCTCTATATTGTCTTGTCATCTACCTCAAATAAAAATAAACATTAGGCTGGGAACAAGTGGCTCACGCCTGTAATCCTAGCTACTCAGGAGGCTGAGATCTGAGGATCACGGTTCAAAGCCAGCTTGGGCAGGAAACTCCGTGAGACTCTTATCTCCAATAAACCACCAGCAAACTGGAAGTGGCTCTGTGGCTCAAGTGGTAGAGCACTTGTCTTGAGCTGAAGAGCTGAGGGACAGCGCCCAGGCCCAGAGTTCAGGCCCACGACCAACTTAAGAAAAAAAAAAAAAATTAGCTGCTGCTTTTTCCAAAGTAGAGATGAATGTAGAAAGAAGTCAGAGATAGATTAACCATTAAAAAAAAATTAACAGCCTACCTTTATAGCTAGAAAATTCAGTCCACTCTCATTGGCCAAAGCCTTGGCTATCATTGTTTTAGAGCACCCTGGAGGCCCATACAGGAGAACTCCCTTAGGTGGCTGAATACCCATTCGAATGAATGACTCTGGGTGTTTCAAAGGCCATTCCACAGCTTGTTTCAATTTCAGCTTGACACTCTCCATTCCTCCTATATCTGACCAGGATACCTGCAAAACACAACAGTTTCTAAATGCGAGTTTTGGCAGGCCAAACAGAGAACAAAAACAAAGCATGTCAGCCAAGCGCTGGTGGCTCGCGCCTGTAATCCTAGCTATTCAGGAGGCTGAGATCTGAGGATTGTGGTTCAAAGCCAGCCCAGGCAGGAAAGACCTTGAGACTCCTATCTCCAAAAACCACAAGAAAACTGGAAGTGGTGCTATAGCTCAAGTGGTAGAGTGCTAGCCTTGAGCTGAAGAGCTGAGGGACAGCGTCCAAGCCCAGAGTTAAAGCCCCATGACCAACAAAAAAAACCAAAAAACAAAACATGTCATCAGCAAAGAAAGTACAAGGGCTAACAACCCATTTAAAATTTAAGAAGGTCTTTTTAAGAATATAAAGTAGTAAATTAGGAGTACATTAAATTAGGAGTAGTAAATTAGGATCAGTGTATTGTAAAAATACTAAAAAAATCATTTCTGCTTAGTACTGTATAAACACTTCTTACATGATTAGACATATTATTAAGTTTATCTTCTGCTTTAAAAGTCTCATCTAGCCAGGTGCCCGGTAGCTCACGCCTGTAATCCTAGCTACTCCAGGAGGCTGAGATCTGAGGATCGCGGTTCAAAGGCAGGAAAGTCCGTGAAACTCTTATCTCCAATAAACCACCAGAAAACCAGAAGTGGCGCTGTGGCTCAAGTGGTAAAGAGCGCTAGCCTTGAGCTGAAGAGCTGAGGGACAGCGCCCAGACCCAGAGTTCAAGCCCCATGACCGACAAAAAAAAAAAAAAAAAAAGTCTAATCTATATGAAAATTTTCTGAGTCAGTGATCCCAGATGGGTCCCTCATCCATCTATGTATAATTTTTCAATTTCAAAAGGCTGTGCAAGATTAGAATTTAACATTTAAGTCACATCAGTCACCACTCCCATCATTCTCCCTCACTCATCTATACATTTAAATTTATATACTTAACTCCTATTATTACTTTTTCATGTGTGTGTGAGAGCACGCTGGGGCTTGAATTAAAGACTTGCTTCATTGGTCTTTTGTTTGGCATTCTACCAACTAAGCCATTCCTCCAGCCTAGCTTTTTTGTTAATTAATTGGAGAACGAGTCTCATAGACTTTTCTGTCAGAGCTGGCTCCTAACCTGATCCCCCCAGACTAGGATTACAGGCATGACTCAGTGGTACCCAGCTTATATATTGAATTTCTTTTTTTTCTTTTTTTTGGTCGGTCGTGGGGCTTGAACTCTGGGCCTGGGCGCTGTCTCTGAGCTCTTCAGCTCAAGGCTAGCGCTCTACACTTGAACCACAGTGCCACTTCCGGCTTTTTCTGCTTATGTGGTGCTGAGGAATTGAAATTAGGGCCTCATGCATGCAAGGCAAGGAGTCTACCACTGAGCCACCTTCCCAGCCCATATTTAATTTCTTAAGCTTCTTCTTTAACAAAGCTTAATTTCAAGAACAATTCTGCAAGTCCTTCTGATTGTTTTGTCTTTGGCATACAAATGAAGTATATTCAAACTTCTTTGTTGACATAAGAAATATCTCCAAGGGGCTGGGAAGGTGGCTCAATGGTAGAGCGCTTACCTTGCATGCATGAGGCCCTGGGTTCGATTCCCCAGCACCACACAAGCAAAAAAAAAAAAAAAAAAAAAAATCTCCAAAATAAAGTAGCTATTTTTTATAACATATCATATGAATGATGTGCTTATCAGAAAATATACCTAGAAAATAGAAGAAAACATGAATCCAGACTTAAGTAACTCAAAAGCTACTAAAGGACCTGTTATCCTGAATGATAGTTCCTGGTGTCTCTCATCTTTTATTTTTAATTTTGAAAATTTTAAAACATATACAAACATTCAAATAACCACAGTACAATGGAAAGGACACTAAGTACAATAACAAAAGAAACAGAAAGGGCCTTTGGCAGCTCCTAGGAAGGAAATATTCCAGCTGGAAGACAATTTGAAAGCAAACTCTCAGAAGGATGCATAAGATGTAAAAACAGGGAAATGGTCATGCAGAGGCCAAAAAAACTGGCAAAATTCTAAGAGGGAAGCATAAAGAGCGTGAGGAACAAACATTTAAAGGAGAAAACTGAAGCAAGCCAGAGTCATACAGTGGAATTTTAGGTATAGAAAATGGTGTGTATAATCCAATTTGTGCTTCAGTAGGACTTTTGGGACAGAATTCACTTGAGGGGAGACAGAGTACAGGGAGAACCATTAAGGATCTATCACAAATACCTGCTTTAAAAAAACAACTTGATGCTTTCTTCCATTCTTTTCTTGGTATTGTTTCTAACTTATTTATAAGGTACCATCTGATTTTTTTGTTGCTTTGTATGTTCCTCCCCCACAGTATAACCCCTGTTTTCACTGTATTTGATGTCAGTATAATTTGGGGAGGGGAAGGGAAAAAACAAAATGTTTAAATAGTGATACAGGCTGACCCACTGTAAAATGAGATGTACAAAACACTATGTTGAAAAATGAACTTTACAATTTAGGTGGGGTGGGGGGTGGAGGAGTGGGGGCAAGGTAATGGAGGAGGTGGTAGGGAAAGGGTGGTAGAGGAAAAACAAAGGAGGAGGCAACAATGCTTGATAAGAAATGTACTCATGGATGGGCTGGGAAGGTGGCTCAGTGGTAGAGTGCCTTGCATGCATGAGGCCCTGGGTTCAATTCCTCAGCAGCACATAAGCAGAAAAGGCCGGAAGTGGCGCTGTGGCTTGTGTGGTAGGGCGCTAGTCTTGAGCTGAAGAGCTGAGGGACAGCGCCCAGGCCCAGAGTTCAGGTTCCACAACAGACCAAAAAAAAAGAAAAGAAAAGAAATGTACTCATTACCTTGCTCATGTAACTGTACCCCTCTGTACAGTATTTTCACAATAAAAAACATTAAAAAAAAGAAGAAATAATGGTGGCTTATTAAAGAAATAATGGTGGCTTATGATACAGATAATTAATACATAATTCTGTTTGGGTGATTATCTTCAGAGAGTTGATTTTAAAACAAAAGGGGTGTGAAGATGCTGCAGTGATGACCCAGAACAAAATACATGTACACGAAAACAGCTTTGATGAATGGCAAAATATTCAATGTATAGCCTAAACTTAAGATAAATAAAGGAAGGGGTGGTTCGGGAGGGATGGGTGAGAATATTGAAAGGGGTGACATTGATCGAGATGCACTGTATTTTTAACTGTTTTGGTTAATATATGGTAATTCCTTTTTACGACTACTGAAAGATAATAAAAATATTAAAAAAGAAAAAAAAAAACAACTTGAGCCAGGCACTGGTGGCTCATGGCTGAAATACTAGCTACTTGTCAGGAGGCTGAGATCTGGGCAGGAAAGACCATGAAACTCTAATCTCAATAAACTACCAGAAAACCCAAGGTGGTGCTATGGCTCAAGTGGTAGAGCACTAGCCTTGAGCTGGAGAACTGAGGGACAGTGTTCAGGTCCAATGTTCAAGCCCTATGATCAACAAAACAAAGCAAATCCTAGATTTTCTGGAGGCTGAGATGTGAGGATGGAGGTTCAAAGCCAGCCTCAACAGGAAAGTTCAAGAGACTTTGATCTTCAATTAAGCACCAAAAAAGCCAGAAGTGAAACTGGCTCAAGTGGTAAGTACTAGTCTTAATAAGCAAAAGAACTCAGGAGGCAGGCACTCAGGCCCTGAGGTTCAAGCCTTAAACCTGGGGGTAAGGGGTGGAGGATAGAAAGAAAGCATTAATCTCTAATTTTAATTGTGAAAATACTGTATAGAGGGGTTACAATTACATGGGCAAGATAATTAGTACATTTCTTATCAAGCATTGTTGCCTCCTCCTTTGTTTCCCCCTTTCCCATCTCTGCCCTCCCCTCCAAAGTTGTAAAGTTCCTTTTTCAACATAATGATTTGTACATCTCATTGTTACAATGGGTCCACCTGTATCCCTATTTAAATGATTTGTTTTTTTTCCTTCCTCTCCACAAATTATACTAACATCAAATACAGTGAAAGCAGGGGTTATACTGTGGGGCAGGGACATACAAAGCAACAAAGAAATCATCTTATAAATATATTAGAAATCATCTTATAATATGAAAGAAAAAACATTTGAATACTTATCTTGGGGTTCATTTCACCTAACATCAACTTATCTGACCTTCTCTGCTTGACTCAGACATACACTAGTTATTGCAAATAAGGGAAACCATGCGACCTGTGTTTCTAAATTTTTTAATAAGGTTAATGCTACCATCTTGATTCTGGCACAAAATATTTCCTGGCTAAAAGTACTAATATACTCATTACCTGACTTATAACTGTTACCCCTCTGTATCTCACCTTTCTTTAAAAAAAAAAAAAAAAGTATCACACCTGTAATCCTAGCTACTCAGGAGGCAAAGATCTGAGGATCACAGTCTAAAGCCAGTTGGGGTAAGAAAGTCCATGAGAATCTTATAAGCACCAAAAAAGCTAGAAGTGAAGATGTGGCTCAAGTGGTAGCTGTGAATAAGAAAACTCAGGGCCCTAAGTTCAAGCCCCGTTCAAGCCCCCGGAACACACACACATACACACATACACACACACACACAGAGTAACCTACTTCTCAATATGCTTTTCTGTACTATTGCTACTACATAAAACTTTAAAAGGTATAAGAAGTTAGCAAGATCGATTGATCTTGAGGCAGGCGCCAGTGGCTCACTCCTGTAATCCTAGCTACTCTGTAGGCTGAGATCTAAGGATCGTAGTTGCATTCAAAGGTGGCCTAGGCAGGAAAGTCTGTGAACTTTTATCTCCAATAAACTACTCAGAAAAAGCCAGAAGTGGCACTGTGGCTCAAGTGGTCATTAGCCTTGAACACAGACAGGCTCAGGGACAGCAGTTAGGCCTGAGTTCAAGCTCCAGGCTCAGCAAAAAAGAAAAAGAAGACTGATCTTGAGATTTGACAGAAGAATACACTTTCTGTCTAGACAACAGAAGCAAAACCAAAAGAAAACAACCTCAAAGGTTTGCCGAGCATCAGCACAGAACTAATAGAATTTCCACAGGTTGTAGTATCCATTCCTAAAACAGCAACATTTTATTTAATAAGACATCACAGAAATCCTCCATTATTTGTGTGTAAAAAAAATTTACAGAGGACGTATATAATGTATACTATTGCTAAAGAATAGGAACTTAGCGGGGCACCAGAAGCTCACACCTGGAATCCTAGCTACTCAGGAGGCTCAGATCTGAGAATCACGATTCAAAGTCCACCCAGTCAAGGAAAGTCCGTAAGACTCTTATCTCCAATAAACCACTAGAAAATCGGAAATGGTGCTGTGGCTCAAGCAGCAGAGCGCTCGCCTTTAGCTGAAGAGCTGAAGGACAGCGCCCAAGCCCAGAGTTCAAGCCCCAGGACTGACCAAAGAAAAAAAAAAAAGGAACTCAAGTAATTATTCTAAGAGTATATGAAGAATTAAATATAATTAAAGCTAATAAGTTCATTCAGCATACTGCTAATATACTAATCCTAGGAAATGCAATGGACAGTCACATTCTCAAGTTGTAGGTTAATCTAAAAATGTAGCAGGAAATTTTGGATATATAAATTAATGAAAGACAGCTTATTATTCAAATAATTAAGTTTGTTGCTTTTAAAAGTGAGAATAACAAGCCAGGCACTGGTGGTTCACACCTATAATCCTAGCTACTCAGCAGGCTGAGATCTGAGGATCGAAATTCAAACCAGTACAGGCATGAAAGTCCAAGTGAGACTCATCTCCAACTAACCACCAGAAAAGTGGAAGTGGAGCTATGGCTCAACATGGTAGAATGCTAGCCCAGTGCAAAAGAGCTCTGGAACAGCACTCAGGCTCTGAGTTCAAGTCCCAGGACTGGCAGAGAGAGGGGGAAGAAAGGGAGAGGAGAGAGAACACAAGAGAGACAGAGAGAGGAGGGAGAGAGAGGAGGGAGGGAGAGAGAGGAGGGAGGGAGAAAGAGAAAGGGGAAAAAGAGGAGAAAGAGAAGAGAAAGAGGGAGGGGAGAGATGGGGAGTGAGGATAACAGGAATGTTTACTCAGTTCATGGCATTTGTTATGCATTCAACTCATAAGTTTAACCTGGATCCAAACTTAATTTTGGAGTCTGGGGTTTTATAGCTGGTCCTAATGCTTTAGTGACCATTCACATTATAAAACTGGGTTTACATGAAAGTAGAACCTATCTTTATAATTTTTTATTATTACTATTACTGTGAATCAAATATCCAAATACTAAAAACTGGAATCCAAATGTAAGAAAATAAGTATACAGGTGAATTATTTCCAAGTTAAAAAAAAGGATAAACTGACCCTTCATGTAAACTGAAAAAGGAAAGCTTGGATAAGACTTTATAAGTACAAATGTATTAAACTTAATGGATATAAATTTCATATATTTAGTTCAGAAAACCATTTATCATTAGTAATGGTTATAGCGTATTTGGATTTACCTACTGAAAATACAAATATGGAGCATATGGTTGTCTGTGTGTGTATGTGTGCGCATGCATGCACACTGGTTCTGGGACTTGAACTCAAGGGTCTGGATACTGTCATTCAGATTTTTCCTCAAATCTAGCAATCTATCATTTGACCCATAGCTCTACTTCCTGCATTTTTTTTTTTTTTTGGTGATTAATTGGAGATAAAACTCTCATGGACTTGCTGCTCATGCTGACTTTGAACCACAACCCTCTAGGGTAGCAAGAATTATAAGCATGACCCAGTGGTGCCCAGGTTTAATGTGACACATTTAATACAGCAAAATAAGTTATTAAACCCTCTGCAAAAATAATTTGTCGGTATTTCAATAGATATAGTAGCCAGAACCAAGGAAAGTAAAACTTAGGAATTTAATTATAAAAATGTTGACTTCTTAGGAAAATTTTTATAACTTACAGCAGACATAAAAAGCACTGTAGAAAGTACTTTCACCAGTGCTAATCATTCCCCAGTTCATGAGTAACATCACAGTACACCATGGCCTTAACCCAAATAAAGTGCCAAATGGAAAATGGCTCACATCCATGCATTGTAAATATTCTATCAAAAGAAAATAAAGGAAAAAAGGTCTTTTATTAGAGCAATTAAAAGCACAGTTGTAGTACCAGTTCCTATGATGAATCAGTTTAGCAATTCCAAGAGTTAGACAGACACTGATTAAACACATTCTCCACTGGCAGGAATTTTAAGTTTAAAACCACACAGTACGTTTAGGACCTAAACATTTAAACTCTATAGCAGATTGGAATAGTTTTTAACCAGCACCTGAAATGTTCATGTGTGATTCTGATGATTTAAGCATCTATCTGACCCATTATAATCACACAATAAATTTTTAAAAAGATGAACATTACAAAAAAGTATTCATATCAGTGTGACCCAAAATTGGACTATAAATCCCAGAGATATTAAAAGTTTCCATTAAACCAACATTAATCATTATTCCATAGTATTTATAGAATAATTAATGCTAAATGAGTATGTTCTGCTACATGGATTTTGAAAAACCCTCAAATTGAGCCAATCAAATTTGAAAATGTCTCAAAAAGAAATCAAAACCACAATGATTGCCTCAACCCAGAGGCAAGTCCTTAGGAGAACTTCCTATCTGTAGGATATAGTTTCCCAGCCTAAATTTAAATAACTAGTTGTCATAAAAAGTTAACAAGTACTAAACATGGTAGCTCATAGAAATAAAGGGAATCTCACTTCAAGGCTAACCAACATCCTTCCATGTAAGCCTTTTTAAAGGTCCACCTCTTTCTCAATACCATACACAACATATTGCCAGTGCTTCTGTCTTAATGTCCATTTGTTAGTAATGTTAACATGTCCCAAGAAAACTATGAGGCCACCTTTCATTCTTTGTTATTCTTTGTATCACACTTGGGTCATGAGGGATATCACATGGCCCACAAACTAAAGGTGGCCTGCTGTGCTGTAATAATATGCCTGTAAAACAAACTGATGAAACAATGTCATCAGCTTGTTCTAAAGTCAGCCTCGTTGACATTTCCTAACTGCAAAAAAATGTATCACCCAGCAACCATACTTGTCATGCATTCCATACATACAATAACCGTTCATAACTTCTCTCATAGTAGTAAAAGACTAGAAACAAGTCTAGTGTTGAATAAACAACTAAAGCATATACATATTAGGGAAACTACCACTGTGGCTATGTCTGCCAAAGGTCACTGTGTGAAAAGCTTATTTTCCCTGCTAAGTGATAGGACACAATGGGAGTCTCTAGGCCATAGTCCCTTCTTCTTCCACCTCACAGCTGCCAGGAGGTGAGCAACTTCCCCTCCACGTTCTCCACCATGAAGGACTGCCATGCACAAAAGCAATGCAGTCACCAACAATGATCTGAAACCTCCAAAACTGAGACTAAATAAAGCTTTCCTCTTCTCAAATGTACTAACAGCAAGGAGGCTAACATTATGCAAAATTAAAAGAAACCCACTGTAAATCCTAGCTACTCGGGAGGCTGAGATCTGAGGACCGTGGTTCAAAGCCAGCCCGGGCAGGAGTGTCTATAAGACTTTTATCTCAAATAAACCACCAGAAAACCAGAAGTGGTAGAGCATTTGCCTTAAACTGCAGAGCTGAGGGACAGAGCCCAGGCCCAGAGTTCAAGCTCCACAATCGACCAAAAAAAAAAAGAAACCCAGCCAGGTACTGGCGGCTCACGCCTGTAATCCTCACTACTCTGGAGGCTGGGATCTGAGGATGGTGGTTTGAAGCCAGCCCAGGTAGGTAAGGTCCCTAGACTCCCATCTCCAATTAAACATCCGCAGAAGTGGAGGAGTGGCTCAAGTGGTAAAGCACTAGCATTGAGCAATTAAAGTCAGAGAGAGAGTCCAGGCACTTAACTCAAGCCCCAGGACCAGCACACACACAAAAAGAAATCATGTATGACACATCCAACCGTTTGGATAAATCTCTAGGGAATTATGTTAAGTGAAAAACCTAATTTCAAAAGGCTAATTCTATCTATATGGTCCTTTAGAAATAATAAAAGTTTAAAAATGGCATTAGGTGGATATGGTTAGAAAAGGCCAATGTGTGAGATATCTGTGGTGTAAAATTAGTATCTTTTTTGTATCTGTGCCAGAACTACAGCTTGAACTCAGGGCCAGAACACTCAGGGCTAATGGTTTACCACTTGAGCTACAGTTTCATTTGTAGCTTTTTGGTAGTTAACTGGAGATAAGAGTCTCATAGACTTGGCTACCTGTGCTGGCTTCAAACTGCAGTCTTCTGTTCTCAGCCTTTTTAAGTAGTTAGGATTACAGAAATGAGTCAGTGGCACCTGGCAGTCAGTTTATTGATTGTGGTAATCAATGCCACAACCTTTAGCATATGAAACATATGTACAGGAATAAATACTCACCCACAAACAAGAGTATAAGTGAAAAAATAAGTGTAAGATCAAGAGACAATACAAACTGCCTGTTTGTGATTTTGTGCTACAGTTTTGCATCACTACAGTTTTGTATCACTACAAGAATGCACAGTGTCTATTTTACAACTGCATTGGATCCACAATTATCTCACAATTACAAAAATTTCAAATAAACAATGCTTTGACTAAAATGTTTTTGAAGTTTAACATAGCAAGACAGTTTCTGTAGAATCTCATTCTTTCAGAGCTTAAATGAACAGAAAAGTTAGCATGCAGTAAAGATAACTTACATTTGGGACATCAATTGCTACTTCCCTCATAGCACTGGGCCTGATGTCCTTCATTCCCTGCAAGAAATCATTCAAAGTGATCTTCACCAAGCTGGACACCTTGCTGTCAGGAAGGTTAGGCTGCTTCTTCAGGAAACTACGCAAAGCACAGAAACCTGTCATGAGGAAAGGGACACAAGATTTACCTTGTGTGTGCGCATCTGTGTATGCAGTCTCGGGGCTTGAACTCAGGGCCTGGGTGCTGTCCTTGAGCTTTTTGCTCAAAGTTAGTGCTCTACCACTTGAACCACAACTCTACTTCCAGATTTTTGGGGGATGTTTAAGTGGAGATAAGAGTGTCATGGACTTTCTTATCTGTGCTGTCTTTAAACTGTGATCCTTATATTTCAGCCATGGTACCGGGCAGGAATTACCTTTTATTCCGTAAACATAGACTGAACAATAATAATGAAAAGAATCCAAAACTCTGTAAACACATTAGTCCTTAAAGTATTGTTGCTTGCATGTATATATGGTGTGAAAGTTTGAGGACAAAAGACAGAAGAATGCGGAAGGCAAATGCCAAATCCCAAGAGTTTAAGTTTTGAACATGAAACCAGGAGAAACTGAAAATACAAGAAGACAGATATTTTATAAGCAAAAAAATAAAACTTACAGAATATCACTCATAAAGAAGACCAAAAAGGTTTATCAAAATAATTTGAAAATATCTGGGGGAGGGGTTATACTACCAGGCAAGTATTCTATTGCTTGAGCCCCATCTCCAGTGTACTGTGAGCTATAATTTTTTTAAATAGGCTGGCTTGGACTGCCATTCTCCTATTTATTCTTCTCATTGCAGCTGGGATGACAGGCTCATGCCACCTCACCTAGCTGAGATGGAATCTTGAGAACTTTTTGCGTGGACTGGCCCCAAAACATGATCTTCCAGTGTACCAAGGATTACAAGTGTGAGCTACTAGTGTATGAAGCCCTAAAGAACAATGAAAGCTCAGTCCCACATATCAGCCTAATTCCAACTCTGTTAACTTGTTCATTGAAATATGAGATGATAAAATATGGCAGGTTATCAGAAAAGAAAAAAAAGCTATTTGCAAAAGCCATAAAAATGTAACAAAGATCCTAGATACTCCTGCCACAGGCCATTAGATTCTTTTCAACTTGTAAGTACTATGACTCCTCATTCGAATACACTTAACATATTTTACACAACAAATGGTAGTCTTAAATGGTCTATCCTTACTAGACAATAAATGGGGCAAAGCTAAGGTGCTAGGGAACATAGCCTCAAAGTCCCAGATCTTCATGGGAGTATTGTTCCACTAACAGAAGCCATGTACCCATTCCTTACCAGAAACCAAAACCAAAACCCAAAACAAAACCATCAGCCCTTCTGGCAATCAAGTTATCAACAGATATTTTATCTAGTTACTTAAGCAATTCAAATTTCTATGGCACTAAATTTAAAATTGTCATTATTAACAGGGCTAAACTGAGATTTATGCGAATAGATTAGTTTTTAAAATATGCATACTTTTAGAACTGAATGACAATTGACTAAAGGAACAAATGAATACATTGTACATCAGCAACAAAAATAGCTTAGAGCAAGAAACTTACAGTATTTCTTTTCCTTACTGAATTTGAAGATTTAAAAAAAAAATACGATTTTGGAACCAATACTTCTATGTTCTCTATTTTTTTTTTTTTTTGCCATTTCTGGAACTTGAACCCAGGGCCTGGGCACTGTCTTTGAGCTTCTTCTGCTCAAGGCTAGCACTGTACTACCCTAGTCACAGTTTCACTTCCAGCTTTTTATCTGGCTTAGCGATCAGTTAATGTAGTACTGAGGACTCGAACTTCGGGCTTCATGCATGCTAAGCAAGCGCTCTACCACTAAGCCACATTCCCAGCCTGTAATACTTCTATGTTCTTAAGAATTGTACTTTAAAACCAAAACTAAACAAAAGATGTGACAGTCTATTTTTATTATTTCAGTTTCTAATCTTTCTATAAAATTTTGGTAATAGAAAATAAGACACAATGAGGCTAGAAAAAAGAAAATGTTTAAGGCGCAAGCCTGATGTCAACACATTCATTCCAGAGTAGGAGTTCTTGTCTTAAGTCCAACAAATTAATATCCAGGCATGGTGGTACACACTGGTAACCCCAGCACTCAGGAGGTAGGGGGAAGCAGTTGTTAAAAAAACACACAAAAAAAAACAAAAAAAACAAACAAAGAAAAAAAAAAGAACTAGGTGTTGCTAGATGAGTCAGATAAAGCTTGCAAACAATTTGCTATATTCAAATAGAATCTTAAATTTTTATGTACGATGCTTGGTGAGATCACAATTTTTTTCACTAGAAAGCAATGAACAACGCAAATTGATCATAGGAGTAAATAAGAGAAAGCAACAGATAACAGGGCTATCTGTCACTCTCATCTGCATTACAAATATTGACAGTAAAGTTCTCTAGAAATGTGCTCATGCATATGAGGAATGAAATAAGTACAGCAAAAATCCAAGTCTCCCATTCAAATAACATACTTTACTCAAGAAAATTTATTGTATTTCAACTTTTATATTCCCTCAACTGCAAATTAAAATACAGACAAAGTGTTAAGCACTACAGATACAAGGCTGGTAGAGTTCTATTTCTCACTGCTCTTTAGAAGAAATCAACGAGGTTACTGCTGTATCTTAAAACTGACTCGGGAGCCCTGACCATTCTAAATCCTATCAAGTTCAAAAGTTGCTTTTAAAAATAACAGAACAGGGCTGGGAATGGGGCTTAGTGGTAAAGTGCTTGCCTAGCATGCATGAAGCCCTAGGTTCAGTTCCTCAGTACCACATAAACAGAAAAAGCTAGACGTGGTGTTATGGCTAAATGGTAGAGTGCTAGCCATGTGCAAAAGAAGCTCAGGGACAGTACCCAGGTACTGAGTTCAAGCCCCAGGACTGGCAAAAAAAAAAAAAAAAAATCCCAAAACCAAAAAACAGCACAGAGCTGGGTGCCAGGGTCTTACATCTGTAATTCTAGCTACTCAGGAGGCTCTGATCTGAAGATTAAGGTTCAAAGACAGCCTGGCAGAATGTCCATGAGACTTTTATCTTTAACTAACCACCAAAAAGTTGAAAGTGAATATGTGGATCAAATGGCAGAGTGCTAACTTTAAGTGAAAAAGCTCAGGCCCCAAGTTCAAGCCTCAGAACCTGCACAAAAATTAATTAACTAAATAATAAATAACAGCACTATGGAAGGCACCAGAGTCTTCAGACATGAATCTTGGGCCAAAGCTTATACCTCACTAATCTAGTTTATGTAATCTCTACTCAATCATGAAATAAGGGAGTGTACTAAATCATCTTTGAGAGAAGATTCTAGCTCCAAAACATCAAAATTCAGTTCATTCATTTGACCAGAAAATGGCTTCAAAAAGCATCTCCCCACCCACCCAACCCAAAAAACCAAGAGAGCATGAGACCCTGAGTTAAAAACTCCACCCAACATAAAAATAAAAAAAAATAAAAATAACTTATTTGCTTATCTGGCTTAGCGATCGGAGGGGGGGGAGGGAAGAAAAGCTGGGTACAGTTGCACAGACCTGAAATCCCAGCTTTGCAGAAGACATAAGCAAAGAGGTCTGGGAGCTGTCCATAAGCCTTTTCTGCTCAAGGCTGTTGCTCTACCACTTGAGCCACAGTTCCAGTATCAATTTTTTAGTGGCTAATTGTAGGTAAGAGTCTTATGGATTTTTCTTGCCTGGAATGGCTTTGAACCATGATCCTCAGATCTCAACCTCTTGAATAGCTTCAGGACTATAGGCAGCTCTGGCATCCAGCAAAGGTTACATTTTGAACAATTAACAACAAAGCTGACAGGACTTTAAAAAAAAAAAAGGAATTAAGAATATCTCAGAAAATAACTCTATTTTGAGCAAATAGCTTCATATTTGTATATGTTTTAATTTGAAAGAAAACCTTTCTGAAGTGTTATGCTTTTACAGTCTTGGCAAAACAACCCAGAAAATTTTCCACTAGGAAAGTAAATGGTATATGTCAATGAGAGCTTAACCAGGATCAGAACTATCACCTATTTTCTGAAATAAACCATTCAGCTCCAGTCATTTCAAATAAGTAGCAAAAGTATTACTGACATGCTCACTTCAATGACGAAGAAAATAAAAATCTATAATGCTCATGCATAAGAAAAATCTCAGTATCATAAGTATAGCATTCTATTATTACATTTCAGAATTACCAAATAGAGGAAAAAACCCCGTTGTCTAATACATATTCTGCAGAATTGTTTAGTTTTCAAGCTACAATAATAAAATATACATTGTGTTAAAATTCTGGTAAGTACATCAATTTAATCTGTAATCTTCTTTTTGTTGTTCTATTGGAGGCTTCTAGAGAATCCACATGTGTGATGAGGTGGTTGAGGAAAAGAAAACACTATGACTTTACCTTAATGAGGGTTCAGCAAGATCATCTATCAAGGAGTAAACCAAAATAAGCCCTGTCTATTAATGCACAAGACATTTAACTGATGCAGATTTAGTAAAAATCACTATCTAGCAAGGGATTCTGCCAGATTTTGCTAATACTTATTCTATTAGAATAACCAAGAATATATCATACAATATCAGGAGTACGGCTAAAACTCTACACAAAAAAACTTCTACACAATAATTGCATAAATATTCACAAAATAATATCAACAGGACACTGAAGTAGGTTTTGAAGTAGGTTTTGAGAGGCAAAGGAGAACGAGAAATGAAGGACACTTATTAAGGCCTATATAAACCATGATAATTGCTGTCAGCTAGATTTCTGAATCTCCTAAAATATCTTTTAAAAAGATATGTCATTCTTATTCAGCTAGTGAGAAAACAGAAAACGAGGCTGTATACCTTGTCAAGTACTCTCAGCTGACAAAGCATGAAAGTCAGCACTTGAATCTACAGCTCACCAAGCTTTCTAAAACCCATTATTTCCCTGAATGTATAGAGAATTTTGCCCTATACCTTAGTGGTTTCAAAAATCCTGCTACCCAAGAGGCTGAGATCCAGAGGATCATGATTCAAAACCAGCCCTGGCAGAAAAGCCCTCAAGACTCTCACAGCAAAAAGTTGGTCTGGAAGTATGGC